AAATAAATGAGAAAAAGGCTGGTAAGGATTTAGCTCAGTGGTGTAAACAGAGACCTGGCAAGTGCGAGGTCATGAGTTCAATCCCTGGTATCAAAATAATAATAATAACAAAATAAATTTAAAAAAAGAATTAGGAGGGACTTGCCTTTCTAGATACAAAAAGTATCCTATAAAATTATGGTAAGTAGGGGCTGGGGATTTAGCTCAGCGGCATAAGCGCCTGCCTTACAAGCAGCAGCCCTAAGTTCGATCCCTGGTACCGAAAAAGACAAAAAAAAAAAAAAAAATTATGGTAAGTAAAACAAACTGGTACAAAACAGATCTTTGGAAGAAAGTTCTAAGTCCAAACAAACTACATTTGCACATTTTTAGTACTTAAGAGTCTCATTTTAACCTAGAGAGAACCTGAACTGCATAAAGACCCTGTCTCAAAAAGACAAATTGAAAAAAATACATGCCTGAACTGTGTCCTGTGTTTAGACAGCTTTGTTTTGTTTTGCTTTTTGAAAGAGTCTCATCATGTAGCTCAGGTGGCCTCGAAATCATTCATGGTGAACCTCCTGCCTCAGTTTCCCGAGTGCTGGGACTACAGGCATGGTGGTCCCCACACCAAGCAAAGTTCACACATGTAGAGAATCTCTAGCAAACAGGACCTTGGGGAGGAATCAACTAGAAAGAAAACCTTCCTTAAGAAAAAACTGTAGACAGGATAGCTAAGGCTAAGTAGAAACATAGTCACCAGGTCCAAGTTGGCCTAAACAGGAAGATCTCCAGAGAGAGTGCCGGCAAGGTGCAGAGGATGTCATGAAGAAATCCAAAGTCAGGTCAGCAGGGGGACAAGGATCTCATCTGGGTTGCGTGGGAAGATTCTCCCCCCCATTACTCAGCTGATGAGGGAAAAGAAGGGGCTTAAATTGCTCTGGGGAGACCAACCAACCAACGGGCAGCAGCTTCGGCTTCACTGCTGTTTTGCCTCAGGGAGGCCCGTCCTTGCTCACAGGTGCTGAGTGTGAGTTCCAAGCCAGGCTGCAGATCCTTCCATCCGGACTGGGGGGATGGGAACACTCTCAGACCCACGTAACTTTAATTTAACAATGAGTGTATACAAATCTTCATCTCCAACAGCCAGTAGTGCATCGTTTTAGCTCATCAACTATGCCAATATTTGGGGGGGGGGGGAGTACTGGAGGCCAAACTTGTAACCTAGCGCTTGCCAGGCAGGCACTTGTGCCACTGAGCTAAACCCTTGGCCTCAGCTATGCCAATATTAAAAACATTGTCCAGGATGTGAGGGAGATCTGGTGGCGACATCTGACACCGCACTGACTGCTGGAATTGAGCTGATTGGGCTGCCAAAGTGGGTGCCCCTTCCTCCCTCCATGCTCCATGGGGTCCCTCCAGAAGCTGCGGGCTCCATCTGAGTACCCTCATAGAGGAGGACTGTTCCTCGGTGCAGGGTATACAAGTGGCACATTTGCCTGCTGGAACCTCCAAACCAGCTCTGAAAGTACTATCCATCCTCAGATCTAGCAAGGAAGTGAGTTGGGATAAAATCTATTTATTGTAGTACTAAAGATGGAACCCAGGGCTTCTGCACTGAGCTGTATCTGCAGCCCTTTTAAGAAATTCTTATTCTGGGGGCTGGGGATTTAGCTCAGTGGCATAAGCATCTGCCTTGCAAGCAGGCAGTCGTGAGTTCGATCCCTGGTATCGATAAAAAAAGAAAAAGACAAAAAAAAAAAATCTTATTCTGAGACAGGACCTCAGTAGGTGACTAAATTGCCCAGGCTGGGCTCAAACTTGTAATCCACCTGCTCAGCTTCCTAGAGTGCTGGGATTACAAGTATGTGCCACCATGCCCAGCTCTACGTTTGACTTGGTAGATATTACTATGGCCCTTTAATCAGATGTGAATGTAATCCTACCACTGTGGGAGGCTGAGGAAAAAAGATTACAAAGTCAAGCCCAGGTTGGGTAATTTACCAGTTACACGGGGACCTTGTCTCAAAGAAAAAGAGAAAAGAAAAAAGATTCAATAGTGGGTCTATCTTTTTACCCAGCAATTCTATGTCTACGAAATTATTTTACAAAGACACTTAAGTGAGGGTTTAAAAATCTGTTTCTGGCCAAGCGTGGTGGTATGTCCTAATCCCAGCACTTGGGAAGCTGAGGCAGGAGGACTGCAGCAGGTGTGAGGCCAGCCTGGGCTACAAAGTGAGTTTAAGGCCACAATAAATAAACAGGAAAGCAATAAACAAACCGAGTTCAAAGCCAGACTGAACTGCACAGTAAATCTGTCTCAAAAAGATGAAACAAAAACAACAAAATTATTTTCTTCCATTGTTGTAGTAAATAAATTACTTGTTGTATAAATTGTGGAGAATCTATGAGGAGGCAAAATGAATGAGTTAGGTTGATCACTAGATTGGGGGCCTTGTTCACGCTGTTGATATCTGGAACAAGGAATTAAACCAGTGCCAGGCATGGTGGCCCACACCTGTAATCCCAGCACTCAGGTGGCTGAGACAGGAGGATCACTGTGAGTTCCAAACCTGAGCTACAAAGTGAGCTCAAGGCTAGCATGAAGGGCATAGTGAGACCCTGTCTCAAAAGGGCTAAAAAAAAAAAAAAAAAAAAAAAAAAAAATTAAACTAGACATCTAAAAGGCACAGGAAGATAAAAGAATTTCCTGGAAAGTGAAAATACATTCTGAGAGAGGCAGAAGTCCACCAGCGGGAAGAGCTTGAAAGTGCGCTTGAAGGGGCTGGGGGTTTAGCTTAGGGGCTGGGGGTTTAGCTCAGCGGCATAAGCTCCTGCCTTGCAAGCAGGCGGTTGTGAGTTCAATCCCTGTTACCAATAAAAATGAAAAAGACAAAAAAAAAAAAAAAAAAAAAAAGAAAGTGTGCTTGAGGCCTCTCAGGACTGGTGTGGAGAGTTTGAAGTATTAGGGTCTGGCGTGAGTCTTAAGGATTGGTCTGGGACATGACCCCTGGCAATGTGCGAGCTGGCTGCGTGCCTCCCTTGGCAGTGGGTTTTCTGATCTTTTGTGGCCCTTGGAGGATCTGTCAAGGCATCCAGGGCCATAGGGTGGAGAAACAGCAATGGCTGGGGACATGGTATCAGGAAGGCTACTCTCTCATTGTATTTGGCCCTGGGTACCCTGGGCTAACGCTTAACTCAGAAGGTGGATCTAGTCTCCAAAAAGCAGATTGCAAGGGCCCCCTGTCTTCTCCCCAGACTTTCCTCAGCACTGCCTTGCACAGGTGCTGAAATATAACTAAGGAATAAAAAAAATCTAGCTAGAGAATACAATACCTGGGGCTGGAGATCTAGCTCAGCAGCATAAGTGCCTGCCTTGCAAGCAGACAGTCGTGAGTTCGATCCTTGGTACCGATAAAAAGGAAAAAGACAAAAAAAAAAAAAAAAAAAAGAGAATACAATACCTACCAAGATTTAATTTATTTATTTAGTATGCTATTAAGGTTCGAAACCCGGACTTTCACACTGAGCTAGATCATTGGCCAGTTGTTACTTTTTATTTTGAGACAGGGTCTCTGTACACTAAATTGCTGAACTGCTCAGGCTGGGCTTGAACTTGTGAGTCTTCTGCTACAGCCTCTCAGAGTGCTGGGATCATAGGCGAGACCCCACTCAAAGGTTACATTGTCACTTTCCCCAAACTAATCATCTCCCTCCTTGTGTGAATAATCTCTTTCTTCTTGAGACAAGATCATGCTAGGTGCAATGCTAGCCTTGAACTTGAGTTCTCCTGCCTCTGTCTCCCAGCTTCAATTAGTTTTTTTTTTTAGAATACTTGTGCCTCTGGGTGAGGTGGTGCACACCTGTAATCCCAGCACTCTGGAGGCTGAGGCAGGAGGATTGCCATGAGTTTGAGGCCAGTCTGGACTACACAGTGAGATGTTGTTTGGAAAAAAAAAGTCAACTCCACTGAAAACCCATCAATTTACAAATGAATTCATTCACAATGGCCAAGTTCCCAGGACCCAATCACCCACAGGAGACCTTCAAATGCCCCTGACATAGGACTTTGTAAATAAAGTCTTCGGCAGTTGCATTCTAGGAGGACATTCAAACCACAGCAGCCTTTACTGTGCATGGTCTGCAGAAAGTTTCATGTATACAAGGATTTAAATTGTTCAATTGTTAAATTGTTCAATTTAAATTTTCAATCTCTATTTCTAGTTCCTAAAGATGTTAAAATAGTTATGGATAATTTATTGAAAAAATATAAAATATAAACAAGTGGCCTAGAAACTTGAGAGCAAACTCATGGCCTTCACAATGAGCTTGTATGAGCTTCCTGCCTCAGCCTCTCAGAGTGCTGGGAACACAGGTGCGTACTGCCACGCCCGCATCACTATGCTCAGCCCATATATATTTCAGAGACATGAATCTAAGAAAGTATCTCCATGCTAAATTTATTTGTGTAGTCCTTTTTCCACTTGATAAAGCAGCTGCCCTTACATGGCCTCATTTGGCCCTTAAAACAGTCTTCTGAGCCAGGTGTGGTGGCACACGCCTTTCAACCTAGCACTAGGGAGGCTGTGACTTTGAGGCCAGCCTGCGCTACACAGTGAGGTCAAGACCAGCCTGCATTATGATAGTAAAACCGTCTCAGAAAACCAAACAAAAACCACAATCGCATTCCTCTGAAATAAATACAAAACAACGCTTGCATTTTAAGGTTTGCCAGCGCCGTTCTTTCCACTGACGGTCTCACTGCTGTACAATGTTTTTACTTTCTGACCGCTCCTTCTTGTATCTGTAAATATTTGTTTCCCTTGTTGAGAACGTTCTTTCCCGCAATCATCCTTAAAACCCTGCTCGCCTCTGACGCCCTCGATCCACCCAAAGACACCACAGCCAGCGCCAACCCCGGCCCCAGAACCCCGCCCCCAAAGCCTGGAGCCCCGATGGCCCCGCCTACGTCGATGGCGGCGGCCCGAAGGCTCCGCCCCCTCCGTGGAGTTTCCCAAAAGTCAGCGCGGCGCATCCGGCCGTGCTAAAATGGCGACTCCCATGCATCGGCTCATAGCGCGGAGACAAGCGTAAGCGAGGGGCGCGTCGGGACCCCGGCGGGCTGGGGGCGGGCGGACGCACGTCAGCTGACCTGAGAGCGGGCGCCGGGTGTGCGGCCGCGTCGGGTTCCCGGTAGGGGCCGACGGAGGGGGCACTTCCCAAACAGGTGGCGTGTCGCCGGGGGGCTCGGTCCGGAGGCTGAGTTTGGGGACCCTTGCCCGGGGGTTTCACGGGACGCGGCTGGGGTCCCGCGGAGGGAGCGGCCAGGGCCAGGGCCGGGTCACTCAGTGGTTTCTGTGTCTCGCCCCACGCGTGACCAGAAAAAGCCTCGATCTCTGGTCCATCATTCTCACTCCGAAGATGTAAACTTTAGGTCTCTGTGCAGCTTCCAGCCAGGGTGGGTTTTCTCCATTTGTTCCGGTGGCATTTCCTAGAAGCAGCCAGCCAGCAGCTCGGCCAGTTCGCGCCCCTTCTCCCCAGCTGTCTTTTTACTTTCTATTATTTATTCTGCCCTTCGGTAAATACTTAACAGTACCTGTGGGCTAGAGTTTGAGTATTAGAAAAGGAGGTGTTCAAGACCGTGGTGATGGGAACAGCTAATAAACTGAATAAGTGTATACGTTACAGCTGGTTGTAAAAAGCTTTGCAGGCGATGGATGTGATGGGAAAAGGGAAGAACTTTAAGTTGGTTAGGCTGGAAAAGCGTCTTGAAGAGGTGGCATTTGAGAAGAGATTCCAAGGATGAGAAAGAAGCCAGGTTACAAGAGTATTTGGAAAAGGAAAAAACTTAAAAGAATTTTGTTCTGTTCGGTTTTTGGAACAAAGTTGCTGAATTTCCAAGGCTGGTCTCAAACTTGCCATCCTCCCCCTTCAGCCTTCCAGGGCACTGAGACTACCCATGTGTGCTGTGATACCCGGCTAAGAATTTATTAAAAACTCAGGGGTGACCATTATGTCTGTGAGTACGAGAGAGCCGCAGAGCAGGATTGTAAGGGACAGGTACTGCAGAGGTCTTGTAGAGTTCCCTTACTTCCTTTCTTCTTCCAGCCTGCAGAATGGAACGCCGGCCACATTTTCATTTTCTCAGCATTTTAAGGTCATCACCATTTGTGTTTCTGTAACGCGTAGTTTATAGTCTGCACCTACGTATACCTATATACACAATTGTTTATATTTCTCTTTATTTTGTATTCAAAGGTCCTTATTTATTTTTTCTTCTCGCCCTATAGTCTCTCTCTCTCAGGCCTGATTAGATTTACTTCAGAGTAAGGATAAAGATTCAGAGATTTAAAAACAATTTTTTTTTTTTTTTTAATTTTAAGACAGGGTCTCACTCTCTAGTTCAGGCTGGTCTTGAACTTACTTTTATATTCCAGGCTGGCCTTGAATTTACAGCAATCTTCCTGTCTTAGCCTCCCGAGTAGTGGGATTACAGGTGTGTATCATCTATAGTTTTTAAATGAAAAACCTGAGTATTTTTTACTTAACATCAAGTCTGGCCTCGTCTGTTTTATATTGATTTTTTTGAAAATAAATATTACTTACTTTTGTCCTTGTTAAATGTTATCTTGTTGAAGTCAAGACGAGTTCCAGCCTGTTAAAACCTGATTCAGTCATCTTTTCTTTTTGGGAGGAGGGGGTACCAGGAATCAAACTCAGGACCTTGTGTTGTCTGGCAGGAGTTTATGCCACTGAGCTATATCCCTGGACCTCAGTCATCTTTCATATTAACGATTTCTCCCAGTTTTGTGTCCATTCTAGATTTGATAAGTGGACATATCAAAGTAATTTGTTAAAATATTGAACAATGAGCTGGGCGTGGTGGCTCACACCTGTAATCCCAGCACTCAGGAGGCTGAGGTGGGAGGATCTTTGCGAGTTCGAGACCAGCCTGGGCTACAAAGTGAGCTCAAAGCCAGCCTGAACTGCATAGTGAGACTCTGTCTCAAAAACAACAAAAAAAATTGAACAATGCAAGGCACAATAGCACTGAAAGAGGCCAAGACAGGAGGGTCGAAACTGCTAGAATTACCAGTGTGTGCACCATACCTGATACTGGAGTAATTTGTAATAAATTTTCTGCATTTATTATTTCTGGGATGCATATTGTAGTTGTATAAATATATTGTATATATATTAAATGTCAGCTGTTCTTTTTTTCTGTCTGAAAAGCTAATATTAAGTCCATATACTGGTGGTATTTCTCTTTATATATATATTTATTAGTGCATATTAATCTTATACTAGTTTTAATAGGGGCCAGGTAGTGATTTATTATTGATTTATTATTTATCAGTACTGGGGATTGAATATAGAACCCTCACAATAAGCTGTACCCCCTGACCTTTTTAATTTTTTATTTAGAAATAAAGTCTCATTAAGCCACTAAGTTCCCAGGCTGGGATCAAACTTAAGATCTTTTCTCAGCCTCCCAGAGTGCTGGGATTAGAGATGTGTGACACCTTTGATTTTTTTTGGTGTTTTCTAAATTTTGTTATGGGGCTAGAGTATACCTCAGTGATATGGTTAGCATGATATCCCAAGTTGAATCCCCAACACCAAAACGAAAAACAAAAAAAGAACAAAATTAAATAGCAACAAAAAACTCTCAGTGCACAAAAGGAAAACTTTTATTCTTTTATTCCTATATATAAGTCATTTTAGTTCTTTATGTGAAACATTCTTCAAATTAGGGTTAGCTTAATAAATGCTAAAGTTAATTATTGTCAAGATTATACAACCCAGCGGGATGTAGTGGCACACACCTGTAATCCTAGCACTCAGAGGCTGAGGCAGGATTGCCGGGAGTTTGAGGCCAGCCTAGGGTATATAGCAAGACCCTGTCTAAGAAAAAACAAAAAAAAGCAACAACTAAAAAGATTACACAGTTTGGTCTATAAGAAGGAATAAAAATCTAATTATGTTATTTATTTGTTTTAAACCTTTGCCCATTTCTTTTTTTTTTGGGTACCGGGGATTGAACTCACGACCTTGCACTTGCCAGGCAGCCACTGACCTAACTCTCTGACCCGCTTTGCCCATTTCTAATCATTTATTTTATACACATTTACTGAATACCAGTTAGGTATGCGTGAGGAATAAAAAAAAGATGGCTCTCTAGTTCAGAAATAAGAATCCAGAACCTTCTTTGTTTCTCCAGAAATGAGACCTAACCTGAAAATAATCAGCCTTGGAAACTAGAGACAAGAATGACAGCCCTGATCACTCTGCCTTACCTGCCATTCTAGAGTAGTCCCTGAGCAGGAGAATAGTGAGATAGAATCTTCTGCATGAGGATGTGCATCACCATGGCAACCATCAGCCCTTCCGCGTTAGTCTTATTTTCAGGGGAATACAGTTATTTTGCAGGTATGATTTAGAAATATGGGAGAGGGGTTTAGAATAGTCCAGATTATTTTGATAAGCCCAATATGTGGGCTAATAATAATAGCTCCTATTTGTGTGTTACTTTATACCAGGTGCCGAACTGCTTGCTTCATGTATTTTCCAATGTATAGAATAAAGTTACTGCTCTCAAACCCACTGAGCTGGTATAGGCATTGGGTGTGATTACCGTAAGTAGCCCTGAGCTAAATTCTTGGTACATAGTAAGCCATGGTTATAGTCTCAGCTAACTCTCACAGTAACCTACTAATGTAAGTATTATCTGGTATTTTAGAAGTGGAAACTGAGGTTTCAACAGTGGCTTACTAAAGATCCTATAGTGAGCCATGTGATAAAGAGTCAAGATTTCTTTAATTATTGTGAAATAAGGAACATGTTCATTAAATTCATATAATGTAAATGTGCTACTTAATTATCGTATGGGCCAGTGGCTTAGCTCAGCGGCATAAGTGCCTGCCATAAGTGTGCCGTCATGAGTTCAATCCCCTGTACCAAAATAATAATAATAATAAATTATTGTAAAAGGAGCATAATATCCAGATCCAGAAATACAAACCTGGGGCTTGGGAGTGTATGTAACTTAGTATGTAGCTCCGGGGTAGTTTGCCTAGCACATGTGAGGCTCCGAGTTCAATGGCCTTCACTGAAAAAAAAGGTAAACCCAGAAAGAAAGAAGCTGGATGTGCTGGTACATGCCTATAATCCTAGCCCTCAGGAGGCCGAGGCAGGAATATTGTTGTGAAGGCCAGCCTGGACTGAATCTTGAGACCCTGACTCAAGACACATGGAAAAGGGGCTGGGGATTTAGCTCAGCGGCATAAGTGCCTGCCTTGCAAGCAGGCAGTCGTGAGTTCGATCCCTGGTACCAATTTAAAAAAAAGAAAAGAAAATAATAACAAATCAATACCTTTGGGGCTGGGGATTTAGCTCAGCGGCATAAGCGCCTGCCTTGCAAGCAGGTAGTCGTGAGTTCGATCCCTGGTACCAATAAAAAAATGGGAAAAAAAAAAAAAAAAAAAAGACACATCGGAAAAAAAAAAAGGCTTTCACGTTAGAAGCACCCTAACGCGCTCTCTGGGTCAGAAATCCCTGCTAAAAGTGATCACTGTCCCGATGTCTGTGATCATTCCTTGTTTCTCTTTGTGTTTTTACCATCTAACTAGTTTATATTGACCATTAATCTGCAAATCATAGTCCATTGAATGTTGCCTAGTATGGGTGGAAAATGTCACTTATGAATGCATGTGTATAAAGTTTGCTGATAGCCCCAAGTGGTGGTGGCAGTCCTGTAATCCCAGCACTTGGGAGGTTGAGGCAGGAAGATCATTGCAAGTTCAAGGCCTGCCTGGCCTACAAAGTGAGTCAAGGCCAGCCTGAACTACATAGTGAGACCCTGTCTCAAAAAGACAATAAAGCAGTCAATAAAGTTTGCTGATGGTAAGTTCTAACTGTGAACCCCAGCTGAGTGAAACATTGACCAAAAAACAAGGATTACATTCTTTTCATTAGTGGATTTCTATTAAAAATTGTATTTAACCATTATTATATTTTGATTTTCATCAACCAAATATCGAAAAACTTACTTTTGCTCATTATATAGGTACCTATTTATTTATTTATTGTCTTTCTGAGACATGGTCTCGCTATGCAGCACAGGCTGGCCTAGAGTTCACTTTGTAACCCAGGTTGGTTTTGAATTTGCAATGATCCTCTTGCCTCAGCCTCCCAGGTGCAGGGATTACAGGCATGTGCCACCACACCCAGCTACATAAGTACCTATTTAATATCTACAGTGTTGCCTGTTATTCTGCAAAGCTTAAAGTATTTGCCATTTGAGCCTTTATAAAAAGAGTTTGCTGACCCCTGATCTAAAGCCTTGCTAGGTTTTGATTTATTCTGAGGAGGGAGCCTTTCAGAATCTTAACTGCAGACAAAAGCCCCTGTTCTCTCTGGTTGTGATAGTGGCCGCTCACCCCCAGGAGACCATGCACTCCAGCACAGGTGTCCCCCTGCCTCTATAGATCAGCTTGGTTATTCTTCATCCCGTATTCATGCTGTGATTCCCCGAGGAGACTGTTTAAAATATTTAGTCCAAACCTGTAATCCCTGTACTCAAGAAGGCTGAAGAAGGAGGACCACAGGTTTGGACCCAACTTGGGCAGTTAAGCAACTTAGAGTCTGCCTCAAAAATTAAAGAGGGCTGGAGACAAGTTCAGTGTAAAGGCCCTGGGTTCCATCGCCAGTACCATGCACAGAAAATGTTTCCTGTGAATTACCTAGCTTATCATTACTGAAGTGAAATTGAAGAGCCACTGTTTTTTTTTCCTGATTGTTTATTTGTTTCTTGTTTTTGTTTTGAGGCATGGTCTTTTTTTTTTTTTTGGTACTTGGGAATCGAACTTAGGACTTCACAATACCAGGCAAGCGCTTGAACCACTGAACTAAATCCCTAGCCATTGAGGCATGGTCTTGATATAGGCCCTGAATCCACTATTCAGCCCATTGTGGTCTTGAACTCCAGATCTTCCTGCCTCAGCCTCCCCAGCACTAGGGTTATAGCATGTGCTACCATTTCTGGCAAGAGCTGAACTCAGCCAGATATGGTGGTACAGGCCTGTTATCGCAGCACTTGGAAAGCTGAGGCAGGAAGATCGCTTCGAGACCAAGGTCAGCCTAGTCTACATAGTTCAAGGATGCATACTGAAACCCTGTCTCAAAAAAATAATTAAGTAAATAAATAAAGAGTTGAACTCAATTCTATTTTCACTCCATTGACCATGTTTTGAGCCGCTGCCTTGGATACCTAGAAGGTAAAAAAAATTAAGCATTACTTCATACTTGATAATTGTTTATGCTTTTCAGGGCAGAAAGTGGTACGACAAATTTTAAAACTCGTGTTGTGTTTTCTCTCTATAGTGAAGCAAATAAGCAACATGTAAGGTGTCAGAAATGCTTGGAATTTGGTCATTGGACTTATGAATGCACTGGAAAAAGAAAATACCTACATAGGCCATCAAGAACAGCAGAACTAAAGAAAGCATTAAAAGAAAAAGAAAACAGATTATTATTACAGCAAAGGTAGGTTTATGTGTGAGAACCGAAAGAATGTTTGTTGATATCACTAAGACACTACATGTTTTGAGGCAGTTTTCCAGATATTTTAGTGGGAATAGTAAGCTAATGAGTAGTGAATCCTGACTGAGCCAGCACTATGCCGATCTCCCAATCTCTTTCTTTTTCTTTCTTTCTTTCTTTCTTTTTTTTTTTTTGGGGGGGGGGTCTTTTTGAGACAGGGTCTCACTACATAGTTCAGGCTGGGTTTGAGCCCACTTCGTAGCCCAGGCTGGTCTCTAACTTGCAATGATCCTCCTGCCTCAGCCTCCCAAGTGCTGGGTTCACAGTGTGCCAATCTCTTGCAAGTCGAGTCATATTTAATTTTCAGATATATAACATAAAAATCACTAAGGAAGATGCTGTTACCCTTAGTCAATGTAGCAAGATGCTACATTGTTTCAAAAAAAAAAAGGGTGGGGGCTGGGGATTTAGCTCAGCAGCATAAGCACCTGCCTTGCAAGCAGGCAGCGGTGAGTTCGATCCCTGGTACCGATAAAAATGAAAAAGTCCGAAAAAAAAGAAAGGCACAAAAAGAGTCAGTGACTTGCTCAGTGTCACATCACTGGGAGGAGGAAAAGTTAAGTGTGAAACCACCCAAACTGTCCCTAGAGTCAGTGCTCTTGATCTTTTTATTTTATTGATTCAATTGTCAATGAAACAACAACAGAATACTGGAGTCCACGGTATAAGCAAACTAACTGGGGGTAGTGGCACGTACCTGTAATCCCAGCACTTAGGAGGCTGAGGCAGGAGGTTCACTGCAAATTTGAGGCCAGCCTGGGCTACATAGTAAGACCCTGTCTCAAAGAAAACAAACAAGAAACCTGTATTAAATATACAGCAGGCTGAGGCTATAGCTCAGCAACGCAGCACCTGCCTGACAAGCGCGAGGGTGGTACCAAAAAAAAGCTACAGTAAGTATATATAGGTAAGATAGAGACTGGTATATGAGATATGCTGTGAATTTATGTTACGGAAAAGAAGCTAGCATGGTGGTGCGCACTGTAGTCCTAGCACCCAGGAGGCTGAGGCAAGGCGATTGCAAGTTTGAGGTCAGACTAGGCCACAAAGTGAGTTCAAGACCAGTCTGAATTATACAGCAAGACTCTCTCAAAAGGAAATTAAAGACAGAAAGGAGCAAAGAAAGGAAGAAAAAAGTGGGTATGGTGGCACATGCCTAAATCCCAGCATTCTTAGAGGCTGAGACAGGAGGATCAAAAGTTAACAGTTTAGTTCCTATCACAACATGAAGCCAAGTGGGAAGGTCCTGGGTTCAGTGTCCAGTGCTACACACATACACGTACCAAGAAGAAAAACAGATAACAATTTTAAAAATGAAACTTTTTGGGAAAAATAAATGATTGATAATAGTTTTTTGTTTTTGTTTTTGTTTTTTTTTTTTTGTCTTTTTCGTTATTATCGGTACCAGGGATCGAACTCACGACTGCCTCCTTGCAAAGCAGGAGCTTATGCCGCTGAGCTAAATCCCCAGCTCCTTGTTTTTTTTTTTTTTTTTTTTTTGGGGGGGGGGTTCTTTTTGAGACTATGCATCTCTCTATGCAGTTTAGGCTGGCTTTGGGCTCACTTTGTAGCCTAGGCTAGTCTTGAACTCACAATGATCCTCCTGCCTCAGCCTACAGAGTGCTGGGATTTTACAGGTGCAAGCCACCACATCTGGCTGATAATAGTGGGGGTTTTTTTTGGTACCGGGGATTGAACTGAGGACTGTGTGCTTGCAAGGCAGGCACTTAGGCCACTGAGCTAAATCCCCGGCCCCAATTCTAGGTTTTTAAAGATTTCATTTCTTTTATTTTTATTAGTACATGTTTGTAATATATAATTATTACATTTTTCATGGAGAGTGGGTACATGGTTATAATACATGTTAATTAATTTTTATTTGAATATTTAACCCAGAAGAAATTTATTTAGTGTTGTATATATACTTTTTAATTTATTTACTTTATTTTTTTTGAGACAAGAGTCTCATTATGCAGTTCTGGCTGACCTTGAATTTGCTGCTATTCTCCTACCTCAGCCTCTCAAGTGTTGGGATTACAGGTGTTTGCCACCATGCCTGCCAGTTATATTGTGTAAGGTACAATTTGGTTTTGGTTTGTTTTTTTGGTACTGGAACTGGAACTCATGGCCTAGCCCTTGCCAGGCAGGTGCTTATGCCGTTAAACTAAATCCCTGACCCAGGTATAAGTTTTTTTTAAAAATTTGTTTGTTTATTTACTTAGAGACAGGTCTCACTCTGTAGTTCAAGCTGGATTTGCACTTACTGGATTTGCCCAGGCTGGCCATGAACTTAGTTAATCCTCCTGCCTCAGCCTCTTGGGTGCTAGGATTACAGTTGTGTGTCACCATGCCTGGCATCAGTTACTGTTTGGTGTCTTAATAATTGCCATTCTTTTTTTAATCGGTACCAGGGATCGAACTGATGACTGCCTGCTTGCAAGGCAGGTGTTTATGCCACTGAGCTAAACTCCCAGCCCCAATAATTGCCATTTTTTCTGGACTCTTAGTGTGCCACCAAACCTTGCTAAAACAACTTGTTAAATAGGTTGTCTTTCCTCCAACACATGCTTTTTACCCTTTATCAAAGATCAAATACTTGAATACATCTGGGGAGGTTTCCATATCCTCAGCTCTGTTCCATTAATTTACGTACCTGTTTTGTTCTAATGCCATGCTGCTGTTTCTGCTATTGCTTTGCAGTATTGCTTGAAGTCAGGTGTTGCTATGCCTCCTCCTTTGCTCTGATTGCCCAAAATTGCTTTTGCTCTTCTGGTTCCACATAAATTTTAGGCTTGTTTTCTCTCGATCTGTAAAGTGTGCTGTTGGTTTTTTCACTGGGACTCAGTCTAGGGAGTACAGCTGTCTTAGTTACTTTTCGTTGTTGGGTTAAAATGCCTAACACCCAAAGTGAAAGAAGGAGAGATTCATTTAGTTCCTGTTTGTGGAAGTTTCAGTCCATAGTCAGCCGGCCCCTAGGCAGGGTGGCACAGCACTGGGGCAACATTTCAAGGCAGCAACCAGCAAAAACAGCCAGAACAAAAGAGGGGAGCAGAGGAGACCTCTTCTCTGCCCTTATATTGTACAGAAACCACCCCTGTCTCCCCCCAGGGCAGATGTGGCACTCTCAAAAATTTCTGTGCCCTCCTCTTGCACAGGATGAGGATTTACAAAGTAAGAAAGAAAGCTGGCTCCCTACTGAGTCTCTTAGTTAAACTTGTAAACTTCTCAAGTTGACATAATGTGTCAACCATAACAATGGCCACTTTTACTGTATTGGAGGGAGGACTATAGTTCCTTTTTCTGAAGTCCTTCAGTTTGCTTTGTCAGAGTATTGTCCTTTTCTTTGTAGAGATCTTTTATCTTCCTTGCTTAGGTTAATTCCTAGGTGTTTCATTTTTCTTGAAGCTACTGCGGATGGTAAGATTTTCATAATTTCCTTATCCCACTACTTGTTGGTGTACACAAACGCTAATAATTTTTATGTCTTGATCTTGTATGCTGCTCTTGCTGAAGTTGGTTAGTAATTCTATGAGTTTTATTGGTGGAGTTCTTTGGGTCTTCTGTGTAGGTGTCATGTCATCTGCAAATATGAAGTTTGAGTTCTACTTTTCTTATATATAGCTCTTTTTTTTCTCTTGCCTAATTGCTCTGGCTAAGGTTTCAAGAACTGTATTGACTAGAAGAGGTGATAATGAACATCCTTGTCTTGGTCCTGATTTTAGGGAGAAACTTTAATTTTTCCCCATTTAGTGTGATGCTGGCTATTGGTTTGCCATAAACACCTTTTATCATAATCAGGTATGATCCTTCTATACCTGGTTTCTTCAGGGTTTTTAATCATGAAGGAGCATTGGTGTTTGTTACAGGCTTGTTTTGCATCTATTGATATGATCATGTGACTTTTTATTTTGCTCTTATTCATGTGATGGGTACTACATTTAGTCACTTGGGTATGTTTTTTTTGTTGTTGTTATCTTTTTGAGGCAGAATCTCTCTATGCAGTTCAGGCTAGCCTTGAGCTCACTTTGTAGTCTAGGCTGGTCTCAAATTCCCAATGATCCTCCTGCCTCAGCCTCTCAAATGCTGGGATTACAAGCGTGAGCCACCACGCCCGGCAGTCACTTGGGTATGTTGGACTGTTCTTGCATCTCTCAAATGAAGCCTATCTGATCATGATGTGTGTCATCTTTTTGATAATGTGCTGTATTCTGGTTAAGGATTTTTGCATCTATATTCATTAAGCAGCTTGGTCTATTTCCCTTTTTTAGTTGGGTCTCTATCTCTTTGGGGGATTAAGGTATACTGGTTTCCATAAATGAGTTTGGGAGCCCTCATCCCTTTCAATTTCTTTGAAGAGCTTGAGGAGTATTAGTGATACATTCTTAAAAGTTTTGTAGAATTCAGCAGTGAGTCCATTAGGCCCTGAGCTTTTTCTGGTTGGAAGATTCTTTATTATTATGTCAGTTTCATCTCTTGTTATAATAAATACAAATATAGGGGCTGGGGATTTAGCTCAGCGGCAAAAGCGCCGGCCTTGAAAGCAGGCAGTCGTGAGTTCAATCCCTGGTACCGATAAAAACGAAAAAGCCAAAAAATAAATAAATAAATAAATAAATAAATAAATAAATAAATAAATACAAATATAAGGGGCTGGGGATTTAGCTCAGCGGCATAAGTGCCTGCCTTGTAAAGCAGGCAGTCGTGAGTTTGATCCCCAGTACCAATAAAAAGGAAAAAGACAAAAAAATAAAAAATAAATAAATATAAATATAAGCATACTTATGTCTTATTGGGTTAGTTTTGGTATGGGAATCTGTCCATTTCTTCAAAATTTGCTAATTTGTTGGAATATCTATTTTGGGTTTTTTTTTTTCCACTACCAGGATCGAACTCACAACCTCACGCCTATCAGGCAGGTGTTTATGCCGCTGAGCTAAATTCCC